TCCTCGTAGGAGAGATGCTCCAGTCCCCTCATCTTCGTAGCCCTAAGTTTTTTCTGAAGAACCTTTTGAATGCTGCTTTTTTTTTTTCCCCAGTTGTGGAGTACAAGATTGCTGATATGGGACACTTAAAATACTACCTGGCTCCGAAGATCGAAGACCAGCAAGAAGGCTCTTAATTGGAGTAGGACTGAGGAGGAGATCTGGTCAGCGCTTGGGAGAAGGCAACAGACTTGGAGAAGGAAATGGCGGTGTTAGCGATTTCAGTGCGTTGGAGCATCGTATGAGCACTGTTAGGCATGTGGTGTAGATATCTTTGTAAATATTTTTCAACTTACTATTTTGTTATACTGCTGTCATTGAAAATAGGAAGTTTTGTTTTTTCTAGTCTATTCCTGTACTTCCAGTAAGCTCTTAGATGCTGTCTTAAGGTGAAATGTCTTACTCCTTTCAGATTGTGTTGGAGAAGGGGCACAATGTTTGGCTTGAGTAAAGATGCTGTTTCTTAGAGTTTCACCTGTGGACCTGTAGCTGACTAGGGTTGCTGTTCAGTTGTGCCATGAGTTGATCTGACTGTACTTCCATTTATTTTTGAAGCTGGTATTCTAACTGAAACATGGAAAATGGAAATAAAGAATATAATTTCATGGGTTTTATCCTGTTTAAATGTGGATGGATGAGTCGATGCTTTGTCAAACTATGCTAATGTACCCTAGATCCTTTCTCAAAGGAACTGCAACAGGCAAGCTTGTGCCTTTGCATTAGAGATACAGGCTTCTGCTGTGATTATTGAGATGTGTTGCAATGGAGAGGTGTGGTTACAGTTTGAATAACTAACTGGGCTGTGGTGCTGTGCCCTTGAAGCAGAGGAGGTTTGTGAAACGGGCTTTCCTTAACATGCATTAGCTTTGGCTGGTGCCAGCGGTGCCTGCAGCAGGGGCTGTTCTGTGGCTGTTGCTCAGGGTCTGAGTGTAGGCACGTGCTGCGGTGTAGCTGTGATGGGAGTTCCTTGCTCTGACAGCGAGCTGTGTGAACCCTTCCTGGCTTTGGTTCCGTTTCTGGGTTACTGATGCTAAGCTACTCCTCACAGGCCTGTCTGCGTGTTGTGTTTGTGCGGTGCCTTTGTCCCAGGCCTTACACACCTCTGACCAGAGTAGTGCACTCATCTGTGCCACCAGCAATTCCTCTTAATCGAGGGTATTTGTGGTCATATTTGTTGTTGATGAAGATAAAAGGTTTACAGCATGTTTCACCCTGAAGGTTTGATCATGAAAAACAGGACTTAAAAATTGTTTCAGGCATCTAGTGGAGTTTTTTATTTTGCTTATGGTATTGGTACCCAGCTTGGCATAAATCCTTGCCCTCTGTCTGGAATCCAAGTGACTCTACTTGGTCACGAATGAAGAAACGCCCAAAAACAACTCGGTTGGCTCGATCAGTGCTGCATGGTGAGTAGTACTTGCAGGCTCTGAGGTGCCGTGGGTATACCTGTTTCTTGGGAGGCTCTGTACTTGCCACAAGTCGGCAATACTAAGTATCTTGAGTGTAAACTGCCCGCAGACTTCACACTTGGAAAACCCAACTGGTTTAACAATGTCACAAGGTGGCAGTACTGATGAAGAAACAAATTCTGCTGTGTCAGAATGATGTGGCTACCAGCGTGATGAGAACCTGTCCCCTGCTCAAAACTGGGGGATGGGATTTGTTACCGCCCCTGCCTTTGCTATGTCACTGGTCGTAGCATTGCTTTAGTAGTAGAGATGGTTTAGACTCTGGTTTTCTTCAGCTCCAATACTGAGCTGTCTCTCTTGTCTCAAGAGTACTCTCTTGAACTTAGCTTGCTGATGAATTCAGGACCTTTAAGAAAATATCTCGAAAGCAATATCTGACCCAGCTGCCCTGAAGTTTTGCAGCAATTGTGGAGCTGTTGCCCTTGGCAGAATTGCCCAGAGCAGTAGTAGTGGACACCTCGGGTAACCAGGAGGCTTCTTTCCCTCCAAATGTGGTGCTTCTCAGGTTGGATTGCAGTTGTGCTGCCCACGAGTACAGCTGGAAGACAGATGCTGCAGCAGAGTCAAAGGTTCCTGGAGTGGAAACAGGGAAGGATTCTGGTTTTCAATGATGTGTGTGAAGCTGGGCTAGCGATTGAAGCAAGTTCCTTTTGGTGCAGCCCCTTGCTGTTGGGGGGGATTGCTGAGCTCCTATTTGTGCTGTTCTACTCATAAAAGCATTGTTAGAAATAAGCCAACTGCTTGCAGTGCTTATTTTTACAGCTTAATAACCAAACTGAGTAGCCTCATGTTGTAAGAAACATCCTTTAACATATGCATCTATGCACTTGTGTTTTGACTTGTGTGGTGTCCACTTTCTGGGTAAATCCGTAAAGAAGCTGAATGTTTGCTTTGTCATTGCCCTACCCAAATGCTCAAACTAAGATGTTCCTGTAAAAAAGAAAACCACAACAAAATAAAACCCGCAAATCCAACAAAGAAAAAGGCTGGGAAGGCTTAGTAAGTGCTGTGTGTGTTACTCCAAGTTTAGAGAGTCAGCTTTTGAAGTTTGTGTTGAAACTTAGAGATTAGGCTTTTCAGGCTCTAAACCCAGTGTGTATTTTGTTAAGGACCGGGAACTGGAACCACAGCAATTCCTGCAGTTTCCTCCGTTGGAGCAGCCGGAGGAAGCGGATCCCCAGCTGCGCTTCATCTGATCTGTTAATCTTGTTCCGGGTGCTAGAAATAATTTTCTGGCTGTAGCTTGTGTGTCTCATACTTTGTGTGTGTGTGTGTGACAGTTTAATTATGCCCCGATCTTCCTTTAGAAAATCAGCTTTATTTTAAATCATGTGTTGGAGGGATGTGGGTGAAGGTGCTGTTTCATAAACCATCCCTGAAAGGACAGGTCCCCTCCGGTGGGTCTGGGTGACCAGGACGTGGTCGGCGTCAGCCTGCCGAGGACGCGGGGATTCCAGCTGCCAGTGCGGAGCGTGAGGCTGGAAATAAACCCGGCGGAGCTGAGCCAGCAAGAGGCCTCTGCCATAACCTGGAAGGAAATGACGGCCATCGGCCATAAACTTCCTGGGTTGTTCTGCGGCCGGGGCAGCGCGGAAGAGAAGCGGCAGTGGGAGAGATGGGTTTGGCCAGCAGCGCGAGTAGAAGGTACCAGTCTTTGCGTGGTTTTCTTTGCGTTTCGAGGCTGTGTGAGGCGGGGTGTGCAGCCTGCGCTTCTGCGGGAGCTCACAGAGGCGTTGGGAACTTCCTGTTTAGCAGCAGAGAAACCATTTTGGGGCTGGAGGAGGGGGGTCGGCTGTGTGTGTTGTGTTGGATGGGGAGTTTGAGCTCCCGAAAGGGAAAGAAACAACATACCCCTTCCTTCCTTCCTTCGCTCCTGCGCAGAGCAGAAAAATGTATTGCTCTTATTTAGGCGATAAACAGGATTTAACTTGAAGTGCAGTGTTTGCGCTTACTGGCAAGCTCTCCTTGGGAGCCTGCGCTCTGCCCTGGAAGCTTTCCTCAGGCAGCGCAGGTCCCGACTGTGTTTAAAACACGCCTGTAGCGTGACAGATTAGAAAACTCGAATTACAAGCGTGATTCACCATTTATGTGCCTCTTAAAGAGTACAGTACAGAGCTTGTGTCTGACGTTGAACCAATGTAGAGCACAAGGAGAGTGAAGCTTAGTGGACTTGACTGTGAGGTCTGAGCGTGGTTTTTTGTGTGTGTTTGTCCTGAACAGCCTCTTCCTTGTTGGTAAGCAAGGTGTTGGAAGGGCGGGTGTGAATTGGAAATAATTCTTAGGAAGCCACTAGGAACAGCCTGGTAACTAATGGGACAGTAGTCAGAAGTCCTGTGGTACTTGAGAGTAAAATGAGGCAGAGTCAGGAATTCTGACATGTTTCAGCTGTGCTGATTTCTTTTGGCTGCTTCTCCTGGTGCACATAGATCCTGGGGGCATGAGCGAGGCTGTGGGGCTGGTGGAGAGCTGTGACCTGAAAGCTGAGGAGGAGAGTGTCACCACCCTGTAGGTGGGCGATATCTCTGTTTCCGATGGGGCTAGAAATGTTTTGTCTGTGCTTGGGTTTTGCTACAAAAAAACCCCAAAAAGTTAAAGGTACAGCTGTGGGGCTTCAAGATCAGAGGGTTTGGGGTTTGTTATAAAAGTCAAATTTCCTGCAGGAGAAACAAACCTCTGATGGCAAGGGAATGTGCCAGCAATTAGCAAGAGGGAGACAAAGGATTTCAGTTCAAGTGGAGGCCAAATATTTTGAGGAGATGCTATTACCGTAGATGCCAAATACCGTTATGGCAAAAGCGTCTTTGTCTCTTTCTGTTGGAACAGTTGGGATACGCACTCTGGTTTTCTTTATTTTGCTCTTTCTCAGCTAATAAATAAAGCTGTCGACGTTGGGAAGTGTGGGAAGCCTGTTTGCTGCCTTGCTTCTGGGAATCGGAGCTTGGAGCTGCAGGGTGTGGGTGAGCAGACACCCAACGCGTGGCTCCTGCTGGGAAGAGTTGCCAGGCCCTGTTAAAGGGCTCTGCAGTGAGTTAGGGGTGTGTTGGATCCAGGCTTCAGCTCCTGAGAAGCTGAGCTCCAAGGCGTGGGAGCAAGCTGGCTCTGCCCCTCTCCCCGGGACTGTCACTGCTGGCAGCAAAACCATGGGGCTTGGCTTCCCGTCGTGGTGAAATTGCAGGGTACGGCTCTGGCGTAGCTAAAGAAAGCTCTCCCCGGAAGGCTACCTCCCTCGCAGATGGACAGAGAAGTGACCTGTGCTTTTTAGCTCCTTGCTGGCTCTTTGGTGACCTCATCCCCCAACTGCTCCGTCCCCTCTGAATCATGACTTGAGCTGGCTCGGGAACGATGGCTCCATTTCATTCTGGGTTCCAGTGGGGGGGTTTGTGCAAAATGGTTCTGTTGCAAAATATCCGGCCGGTTGAAAAGCTGCTTTGTTTAGTTCTGGTTTGGGTTTATTTGCTGGTGTCCCTGTTTAGAAGCAGCTGGACCTCAGACATCTCCCTGCTGGAAGTGTCACCTCCTTGAGAAATGAGAGCTGACTTAGTATATTGTATGTTATTCTGGAATTTCTATCTTGTTTTAAATACAAACTCTACCATAGCCTGACTTTGCTTTCAGATATTGGCAAACCCTGTTGCAGCTATATCCATGCTTTTGTATTTTAGGCTTAAATACCAAGATTTGTTAGAAAAGATTGAATTTCTGAAAAAGAACAAAGATTGTTTTTGATTAGTACAGGCTTGACACTTTTGGTTCTCTTAAGAAACTTGATCCATGTCGCTCAGACTCTATCATCCAGTTTTATCTAAATTTTTTTTTTCTGTTGCTATTTTCTTTTCCAGGTTCTAGCTGATGCCCAGGCTTCCTTGTAATGATGCCGTCACGTACAAATCTGTCTGCTGGGATCCCCAGTAGCAAAGTCAAATATTCCAAGCTCTCCAGCACTGATGATGGATATATTGACCTGCAGGTAAAAAGAGGGGAAGAAAA